AACAGAAGGGTGTAGAGTCTACATGAGGGGTGCACCTCGAGGACCCAGGTGGGAGATCAGGGAGGCTGTGCCACTGGACCCTACAGAACACCTACTACAACAGGCCACCCTAGAAAGTGCAGGAGACCTAGCAACTCTTCCTAATACATAGAAACAAACACAGGGAGGCAGCCAAAATGAGGAGAAAAAGAAGCAGGTCCCAAATGAAAGAACAGAACAAAAATCCAGGAAAAGAACTAAGCAAAATGGAGCTAAGCAACCTAACAGATGCAGAGTTCAAAACACTACTTATAAGGATGCCCAATGAACTTAGCGAGAACTTCAATGAACTTAGTGAGGGCCTCAAGAGAATAAAAAAGGACCAGTCAGAAATGAAGGATACACAATCAGAAATGAAGGAGGCACTAACTGAAAAAAAAAAAAATACTTTACAGAGATTCAATAGTAGAATAGAGAAAGCCAAGAAGCAAACCATCTACAGTGAAATCTCGGTTCTCGAACGCCTCGGTTTTCGACCAAATGGAGATTCGAGAAACTTTTGTCTCGGAATCCGAACAAATATTTGGAACTCGAACTTCCGAGATGAGCCGAATGGCGTTCATTCGGCCCAGCGCGCCTTGCTTGCGTCATCAGTGTGAGTGCAGAGAGAGAGTCACGCTTTGTGGAGTCACGCTTTCCTATTGGTTTCATTGCTTCGGTTCTCGAACAATTCGGTTCTCGACCATCCTCCTGGAACGAATTATGTTCGAGAACCGAGGTATCACTGTATTTGGAATATAAGAGAAAAAAAAAACAAAAACAATCAGAACAGCAAAAAGAAAAAAGAATCCAAAAAAAAGGGGGGGAATGGTATAAGGAGCCTCTGGGACAACTTCAAGTGTACCAATATTCACATCTTAGAGGTGCCAGAGGGAGAAGAAAGAGAGAGCAAGAAATTGAAAACTATTTGAAACAATAATGACAGAAAACTTCCCTAACTTGGTGAAAGAGACAGACATACAAGTCCAGGAAGCACAGAAAGTTTCAAACAAGATGAACCCAAAGAGATCCACACCAAGACACATCATCAAAGTGCCAAAGATTAAAGACAAAGAGAGAATCTTAAAAGCAGCAAGAGAAAAGCAGTTAGTTACCTACAAGGGGGTTCCCATAAGACTGTCAGCTGATTTCTCAAAAGAAACTTTGCAGGCCAGAAGGGAGTGGCAAGAAATATTTAGAGTGATGAAAAGCAAGAACCTACAACCAAGATTACTCTATCCTGCAAAGCTACCATTTAGAATCAATGGTCATATAAAGATTTTCCCAGACTAAAAAAAAAAAAAAGCTAAAGGAGTTCATCACCACCAACCAATATTATGTGAAATATTGAAGGGTCTTCTCAAATACATATCTATCGACAATTGAATCTACAAATGAAATGAACAAGCAGAATAAGAACATTCTCATAGGCTCAGCGGTTGGAGTATTGGCCTGTGGTCCAGAGAGACCCGGGTTCGGTTCCCGCTAAGGGCACGTACCTCAGTTGCAGTTTGTCCCCGGCCCTGGTTGGATCATGCAGGTGGCAATGTGTTCCTTTCGATGTGTCCCTTTCACATCGATGTTTTTCTCTCTCTCCTTCCCACTCTATCTGAACAAAAAATACAAAAATGTCCTCGGGTGAGGATAAAAAAAAACAAAAAACATTCTCATAGATACAGAGAGCATTTTTTTGGTTGCCAGATGGGAGGAGGGTTGGGGGAATGGGTGGAAAAGGTGAAGGGATTAAGAAGTACAAATTGGTTGTTAAACTGACAAATGTCAAAGGGAAGGGAGTTGGAGGGTGGGAAGAAATAAACCAAAGAACATATATGCAGCCCTGGCCGGTTTGGCTCAGCGGTTAGAGCATCGACCTGCGGTCCTGAGAGACCCGGGTTCGGTTCCCGCTAGGGGCGCGTACCTCGGTTGCAGTTTGTCCCCGGCCCTGGTTGGTTGTGCGGGTGGCAGCCACTCGATGTGTTCCTTTCACGTCGATGTTTCTCTCTCTCTCTCTCTGTTCCTCTCTCTCCCTCCCACTCTACCTGAACAAAAAATGGGAAGGTGTCCTCGGGTGAGGATAAAAAAGAAAAAAAAAAAAAAAAAGAACTTATATGCATATATGCATAGCCAATGGACACAGACAACAGTGTGGGGAAATGCAGGGGAGGGGCAGGAGTGGGGAGGGAAAAAAAGTCAATAGGGGGAAAAGGAGGAATATCTGTAATACATTCAACAATAAAGATAAGTTTTAAAGAAGAAGGAGAAGGAGGAGGAGGAGAAGAAGATGGAAGAAGGAGGAGAAGGAGGAGAAGGAGGAGAAGAAGGAGGAGGAGGAGGCAAAACACCTTAGTGTCAGACCTGCCAGGATTTGGGGATGTTGTGGTAACATGAAGGAGATCTTTGTGGTGATTGGATCTTTATGTATCTTGATAGCAGTGACAGTTGCAGGAGTCTACACATGTGACAAAATGTCACAGAACTATACATATACATTGTACCATTCATGATTTCTTGCTTTAAGTATTTGACTGTCATTAAATAAAAATGTAATATTTCCAGGAGCCTGAGTAAAGGGTACACAGGACCTCTCAGGATTGTTTCTGCAACTTCCTGTGAACCTATATTTGTTTCAAAATAACAACATAAAATTAAGTTTTGAAAGTTTCTGAAAGAATTAAAAATAAAATTACTGTATGATCCAGCAATTTAACTTCTGGATATTTATCTGAAGAAAACACTAACTCAAAAGATATATGTACCCTGTGTTAATTGCAACATTACTTACAATAACCAGGATGTAGAAACAATCTGTCTACCCATGAATGAGAATATTGGTTAGCCATTAAAAAAATGAAATGTTGCTATTGATGGCAACATGGATGGACCTCGAGGTCATTATGCCTAAAAAAAAAAAAAAAAAAAAATCAGATAGAGAAAGCCAAATACCATATGATCTCTCTGATATGTGTAATACAAAAAAAAAAAAAAAATGGCTCATAAATACAGAGAACAGATAGGTTATTGCCAGAGCCTGGGTACATGTAGAAGGTGGGAGTGAAATGGATAAAGGGAGTGAAAAGATACAAACTTCCAGATATAAAATAAATAAGTTATGGCATGTAATGTACAGTATGGTAACTATAGTAAATAATAAAGTGTTACATATTTGAAAGTTGCTAACATAGTAAATCTTAATATTTCTTATCACAAAAAACTGTAAATGTTAACTAACATTTAGCTAAATGTTAACTAAACATTAGGGTAATCGTTTCAGAGTATATACAGTTATTGAATCATGATGTTGTACATTCAAAACTATTTAATGTTGTACGTTGATTATACCTCAATAAAGTGTCTATAAATAGATTGCCGCAGTCCAGCTGCAGCAGGATCCAGGGGATCCCGAAGGTGGTAAGGCGTTGGCGCTGGGAGACAGATGACTACACGACTCAGAGGAAGTGTGACACTGTTCCGATTTATTGCAAGTCTCTATGTGCTTATATTCTTTCTTTTTTGGCATAAGTTTAACATTTGAGGTTAAAGAAGCAGGGAGTTTCATTCCATAGTACCAGGATGTTAGTTTCATTTTTGTCAGAATTAATTTATAACTTTTTGTGTTTATGGATACAAAGAAGAGAGTAACCTGTAAGGTGAGACAGAGATTTCTATAGGCCTTTGTCTGAGATTAATAGTTAATCTAGTTCTGGGTTTTTAGATCAGCTAGTTTTTTATTTACCTCCCTAGCTAACTCAGGACAACATCTCTTATAAAACCTATCCAATTGCATGATTGAGATTTTTTTTGTTCCCTTGTGTGTAAACACCAAGGGGACCTTGGCGTGCCAATCGTTCCCTGAAGGCAAGCTTGCGTAAGGAACATGGAGTCCATCTTTGTTAACTATTCTTATTCTATCTTCATTATATGCTCCTGTAAAGGGCAAGGGAGGGTCAGGAATCCTTTGTATACTTCTAGCCCCTCTAGGTGGGTAGTTTTCCTTTTATCCAATAAGCTATATAAGGAAACCCTTGAGCAGTGGGTAGGGGTCAATTTTCTTTTATTCTCTTGAAATACTCTTTCTATCTGGGGAGGAGGTACAGGATTACAAGGTGCCTCCATTAGTTCTACTAGTCATAATTCGTCCATAAATTGTTTATTAGGGACTTTCGGGGGAAAATTTTTACCTAATTGAATTAGTGAATTATAAGACAGTCTGGACATGCAGTGGTGACTGTTTCAGGGGAAGCTGGAGTTTCCTCAGAATTTAATTGAAGAGGCATGATTTCAGATATCTTATTTGTTATTCCCAGGTTAGTCATATAGTAGAATAATAATTCCCAATATTATAATTCCCGTAATACCGATTAATCCCACCCCCATGCTACACCCCCTTCCTAGAAGATGCATTCCTTGAAGCTTTCTTCTCCATATCCGGACTATGCCAGACAATATGGTTGGAAGAGGATGTGGCAATAGATAATAATTAGAGCCCAGCTGGTGTAGCTTAGTGGTTGAGCATTGATTCCCAATCAGGGCACTTGCCCAGGTTGTGGGCCTGATCCCCAGTGGGGGGCATGCAGGAGGCGGCCAAGCAACATGCTCTCTCATCGATGTTTCTATCTCTCTCTCCCTCTCCCTTCCTCTCTCTCTAAAAGTCAATAAAGAAAAAATAAGTTTTTAAATAGATAATAATTAGATAATTCTCTTCACTCTGACCTAAGGTCTTCATATGGGCAAAAAGAGCAGTAGAGCGATTCTTTAATGGGGGAGGTCTTTGAATACACAGTATCACATTTTCATATGTAAAAACACTTTAAAATCACCCTCGAGGAGGCTTTCAGTACAAATATTTGTAATACTATGTCAATCCTTAAAAAGAAGAACTAGAGTCTGAGAAGTTAATTATTAGGGAAATTAGGGGAAAGGAAGAATCCAGACAAACAAATTCGTAAGTCACCTCCTCTAGGGCACAACACATACTTAAAACAAAAAGTGTTTTTAAACACAGAGACCAAGATCAGACATCCTTGGTGGCTGGGCTTGCTTGTGTCTGCACCATGAGAAACAGATGTCTAAGACTGCTGTCAGGTAAGTAGAATTATAACAATGACTATCCACAATTGAAGCTATTTGGGAAGTCTATCCAATTTGAAATATCCTCTGTTCTTGCTTGATATCTGGCTTATTTTCCTAATATCTTTATAAGGTACAAATGGAAGAAAATTTAAGGATATTAGCTCAATTATTTTATATCTCAAAGAAAAAAGTTAGTGAAACATATTCCTAGGACATACTTGAGGACTTAACAGATAGTTCTCATCTTACCACTTGTATTAGTCCAGTTTCTCCAGAGAAGCAGAATCAATAGAAGAGAGTGGTGAGGGGGGTCTTTATTAAAATAAATGAGCTCATGATGTAGTAGAGGCTCAAAAGTTTAAAATTCACAGGGCAGGCCAGCAGATTCAAAACCCAGGGAAGAATTGATGTTGTATCTTAAGTCCAAGTCAAAGGCACTTTAGAAGCAGAATTCCCTCTTCCTTAGAGAAGAAAGTCTTTTTTCTCTCATTGTCTTTAACTGATTGGATGAGGCCCACACAGATTATAAAGGATAATCTGATTTCATTCAAAATCTACTGATTTGTATGTAAATTTCATCCTTTTAAAAAAAATTTTTTTAATTTATTTTTAGAGAGAGAGAAAGGGAGGAGAGAGAGATAGAAACATCACAGAGAGAACATCAATTGGCCACCTCCTACATGCTCCCCACTGAAGGTTTGGCCCACAACCTGGGCATGTGCTCTGACCAGAAGTCAAACCAGTTACCTCTTGGTACATAGGTCGATGCTCAACCACTGAGCCACACCAGCCGGGCTTAATCTCATCTTTAAAAAAACACATTTAGCCCTGGCCGGTTTGGTTCAGCGGTTAGAGCGTCGGCCTGTGGTCCTGAGAGACCCAGGTTCGGTTCCCGCTAAGGGCACGTACTTCGGTTGCAGTTTGTCCCCGGCCCTGGTCGGTTGTGCGGGTGGCAGCCACTCGATGTGTTCCTTTCACATCGATGTTTCTCTCTCTCTCTGTTCCTCTCTCTCCCTCCCACTCTACCTGAACAAAAAATGGAAAAATGTCCTTGGGTGAGGATAAAAAAAAAAAATACATTTACTGAAACATCTAAACTAGTGTTTGACCAGATGTCTGGGTACTGTGGCCTAGCCCAATTGATACATAAGATTAAGCATCACACTACCTGTATCATTTTGTTTTTCAGAAGAGTAGATAATCAAACTATCAGAAAACTCATTATGCTAAGAAATACATCATTCTATATGCACATCATGGCATGATTTAAAGGACAGTGAATTAGTAAAAATCAAGCCAGGCTAGTGTGGCTCAGTGGTTGAGTGTCGCCCATGCACCAGGAGGTCGCCGGTTTGATTCCTGGTCAGGGCACATGCCCAGGTTGTAGCCCAATCCCCAGCGGGGAGCATGAAGGGGGTGGACAATGGATGCTTCCCTCTCTCTCTCCTTCTTCCTTCCAATAAAAAGAATGTTTTTTTTAATCAATATGAATGAGGTCAGTTGAAATCTGATTAATCTTTATTTCACTCAATGCTTAGGATAAGAACTACTCCCTGGTAAGTTAGGTGTTCCTTATAGGTTGTCCCCATTGGTTGTAATTTGCTTTCTGGTTTTTATGAAAAATAGCCATATTTATCATTATCTGATTTGTGAAATATGACTTTTTTAATAATGGACACATTTTGGGAAGGCATATAGATCTGAATTTTCATGGGGTTTCATTCCTCTACACCCGTAGTGGTTTTTATACCACAAAGTGACATTCCTCAGGATTGAACTGGGAGAAAAAGGGCAAAGGCTGTGCCCTCAGTACACTATAGGAGGGCCAGGAGCTCATTTGGAAGAAACCACAGAAGCCATGGGTGCTGTACCTGGAGAAGCCACTTAACCAGGAGATAGTGGCTCTACCTTAAGGTGCCTTCCTTCTCATTCCTCACCTCTCATTGTGGCAGGATAGTAAGAAGTTAGGAAAATTCCTGGGTAAGTGGCATGAGAAAACTGAGACAAGAAAATTAAATAAGGCCAAACAATTTGAACAAGTTACAGCCAGCTAGTGAATTGCAAGACCTTATCTTTTCTAACCAAGAACACTTGAGAGCAAATGGTTTATACCTCCCTTCCCTAACAAGAGCATATGTAGCTTAAATTACCCTAGTAGGGAAGTTAGAGGACAGAGACCCAATTAATGTGACTTGTGCCAGCCAAATCCAAGGACAGATGAAGTCAGACAGACCCAAGATAAAAGTAAAACAGTAAAGTAGACCAAAGAATAATCTAAAACTCCTCTATACGCTCATTTTGATGTATCAGCATACTAAAAACACACCTGGCCCTGGCTTTCTGGCTAGTGTGGCTCAGTTGGTTGGAGTATTTTCCTGTACATCAAAAGGTTACAGGTTCGATCCCTGTTGGGACATATACGAGGAGGCAATGAATTAATGAATTAATGTTTCTCTCTCATCTCTCTCTCTCTCTCTCTCTCCCCTCTCTAAAATTAATAAGCATATAAGCATGTCCCCAGGTCAGGATTAACAAAACAAAAACACATACATCTGGAAAGATGATTATTCTGCTGAAACCCTGCCTCGCCCACAGGGGACAAAAAATAAAAGATAAAAATCCTTCAGGACAAAGACTCAGTGCAGACTCTCTCTAGAACATTCTCATGCCCCTTCCCAGGCATGAATATTTTACTTCCTCCTAAACTTTAAAAGTTCCCATGAGACTTGCAACCAGGGGAGAAGTGGGCAGTGGCAGCCATCCAGGCTTACCCCTTGATTCTGTCTCCAAGGCCCCCTTTTTCTCTGACTTCCCAGTGATCTAAAAGCAGCTCTGTCTTGGCTCACTTCTTGCCTATAATGTTTCTAGGAAGCCAAAGCGGAGCTCACCTAGGTTCTCTCCCATTGCTTCTTCTACCCTAAGTCCTTCCTTTGTTCACTGTCCTCAGCTCTAATAAACATACTGTCAAAACCACCTGGACTTGATGGTGAAATCTTTCTTACACAAAGTCAAGAACCTACACACTACAGCCAGGCCTGAGGCAGACCTGCTCTGCCCCAGTCCCTGTGTGATAACCTCATGAGCTCCTCTCTCTTGATTCCAGGGCTCTGATCTAGGCTGATACCGTGAGCTAGGGCTCACACTCTGGGAGTCTAACTCAAATACCCAGCTCTTTTTGTATACCTAGAAAATGTATATTAAACAGGGGGAATGATCCTGGAAGAAAAATCATCAGATTACTGCCATTGCCAGAGAACACAGAACCTGAGTCTGGGCAAAGGGACACTAATCTGATAACTTTCTTCTTTCAGATGTACCCCCTCCATTGGAAAAGGTTGGGGTTTCTAAGATGTGTCTATCAGCAGCTGTCTGTGAATTTTCTCTCCTTATCTGAAGCACCTGAGGGTCCTTGAGGACTGTCTTTTGTTGACTGATTCCTAGGAGGAAGGAGCAGGGATCCTGAGAGCTGAGGGAGAAAAACGGAGTCCTTGGTTCTGAGTGAAGTACAAGAAGAACCTGCTGGAAGACTGTGGGCTGCAGGACAAGAGCCACCTCCACAGAAAGCAGTGGCCATGCGGCCAGACATTGAAATTGGAGATTAACTCTCTTTTCTTTGCCATTTCTCCGTTTTTTTTCTATCCCAGAACTGTCAGTGCTGCTGTTGTTGCCATTGATTGCTGCAGCCCTGAACAATGGAGGTAAGTCTGCCCAGACACATCCCCACTGGTGTTATTAAGCTGGGGAGTGCATGCTGCAGTTTGGGTCCTCTCACCAGTTAGGAGGAATGTGGGCTTATTTTTCAAGTGAGGCTTAGAGATGATCTTCTGGAAATAAGAGAATCGGTTTTTATTTCCCTAAATACCCAGAGTTTGTTGTCTTTTCCTCTTTCAACAACAGCCATCCCTATCTTTCTTCCCCTCCTCTAGCCTTGGACCCACAACTGCCCATGGTTTTATTCATTCCTTGAGCCTTCTGACCATGGTCTCCATCCTCATTGTTCTGCCCCCACAGCCTGTATTCAGTGGTGCCCTCCGAACCCTCCGTGTGTCAATGCCAATGCCTGTCACTGCGCTCCAGGATTAAGTTCTGCACCTAGTAACATCTTCACCGGCCACTTGGAGAGTTGCAACGGTACAGAGGCTTTGGGGTGGTAAAGGGATATACAGAGATTATTGGGGTAGATTGTGGAGCATCCAGAGCCCTCACCTCTGAGAGCAGCACAGAAGCATTTTGTTGAGGATTAGAGAGAGAGGAGACAGGGCAGGGGTGTACGAGGGAAGTGGATGGTTAAGTGTTTGTGATCAGTAGGAAGGGTGTTGAGAGCTTACACAGTGGAGCTGGGCTGTATGGGTTCAAAGTCTAGCTTTGCCACTAAAGGGCTCTCTGACCTTAAAAACATTATTTCTCCTCTCTTTCCTTCAGTTTCCTTGTCTGTATATTAGGAATAATTATTGTACCTACCCTACATGGATGATGTAGGATTTCATATTTAACTGTATGAAAAAAATTTACAGATGACTACAGAGAAATTGTCAACAAATGTGAGCTATTATCATTGTTACTGCTTTTATTGTAATTATTCTTTTTTTTTAATCCTCACCCGAGGATATTTTTCTGTTTATCTTCAGATAGAGAGAGAGGAAGAGAAAGGGAGAGAGAGAGAAACATGGATGTAAGAGGGACACATCGACTGGTTGCCTCCTGAAAGACCCTGACCAGGGCCGGGGACCAAGTGCAACCGAGGTACATTCCACTGATTGGAATTGAACCCGCAACTCATTGGTCCGAGGGCCGACACTCTACTGCTGAGCGAAGCTGGCCAGGGCTGTAATTATTCTTTTAATAGCACAGAGAAAGGAAAAAATGATGAAAGCAATGGGAGGAAAGAAATACCCATGGCCTGGAATCTCAGGCTCTCCTACTAGCTCAAGCTCAATATTCAGGAATCCTGCCCACTCAAGATCCTGGTTTTCTAGCTCATCTTCACAGCAGAGCCAGGACACAAGCAGATCTAGGAATTTTTTCCCACCTTCACCCATTTTGCCCCACTTCTGGCAACAATCAATCTGCTTTCTGTATCTGTGTATTTGTGGGGGGTTATTTTTAATTTCACATTTAAGTGAAATCATTCTGTATTTGTATTCTGTCTGACTTATTTCACTTAGCATGCTTCCTTTGAGGTCCATACATATTGTCACAAAGGACAGGATTTCCTTCTTTTTATGGCTGAATAATATTCCACTTTATATGTGGTATACATATACCACTCATTATCCACTCATTCATCAATGGACTCTTAGGTTGTTTTTGTATCTTAGCTATTGTAAATAATGCTGCAATGATCATGGAGGTGCAGACATCTTTTCAAGATTGTAATTTTATTTCTTTCTGACAAATAGCCAAAAGTATTCATATGAATAATATGGTAGTTCTGTCTTTAAATTTTTGAGGAATCTCCACACTGTCCTCCATAGGGGCTGCTCCAATTTAAATTCCCACTAACACTGCTCAAGGACCCTTTTCTACACATTCTCTCCAATACTTGTTTTCTCTTGTCTAAAAGATGCAAGGTGATATCTCATTGTGGTGTTCATTTGCATTTTTCTGATGATTATCATATACCTTTTCATCTATCTATGGCTTCTCTTTTTTTTCCTTTTTTTAATAATTTATTTTTGTTACAGATGTTTCTCCTTTTCCCCCCAATGATTCCACCCTCCCCTCCCTCCCAACCCTGTCCCCAGCTTTGCTGTCCATGTCCATTGTTCATGCATACATGCATATAAATTCTGTGAATTATCTCTCCCCCACAACCCCCTCTTCTGGGGATTGTCAGTCTGTACCCCACTTCCACGTCTCTGGAACTACCCCATTCCTCAGACTGTTATGTTCATTATATTCCACAAATAAGTGAGATCATATAATACTTGTCTTTCTCTGCTTGGCTTGTTTCACTTAGGAAAATACTTTCCAGGTCCCTCCATGTAGTCTCGAAGGATAAGAGATCTTTCTTTCTTACAGGTGCATAGTACTCCATTGTATATATGTACCACTGTTTTTTTATCCATTCGTCTACTGATAGACACATGGGCTGTTTCCAGATCTTAACTATAACAAACATGGGAGTACATATATTCTTTCTGATTGGTGTTTCAGACTTCTTAGGGTATATTCCTAAAAGTGGGATCACTGGGTCAAATGGAAGTTCAATTGTTAATTTTTTTGAGGAAACACCATGCTGTTTTCCATAGTGGCTGCACCAGTCTGCACTCCCACCAGCAGTGTACTAGAGTCCCCTTTTCTCCACACCCTCGGCAACACTTGTTGTTTGATAATTTGTTGATGGCGGACATTCTGACAGGTGTGAGTGAGGTGATACCTCATTGTTGTTTTAATTTGCCTCTCTCTGATGATCAGTGATGCTGAGCATTTTTTCATATGTCCCTTAGCCATTTGTATGTCATGTTTGAGGAGGTGTCTATTCAGTTCCTCTGCCCATTTTTTAATTGGGTTCTTTGTCTTCCTTTTGTTGAGTTGTATGAGCGCTCTCTCTCTCTCTCTCTCTCTCTCTCTCTCTCTCTCTATATATATATATATATATATATATATATATATATATACATATAAATTAACCCCTTATCTGATGTATCATTGGCAATTATGGTCTTCCATACAGTGGGTAGTCTTTCCGTTTTCATGATTGTATCTTTCGCTGTGCCAAAGCTTTTGAGTTGGATGTTGTCCCATGTGTTCATTTTCTCCTTTGTTTCTGTTGCCTTGAAGGATGTATCAGTAAAAATTATGCTGAATATGATGTGTGAAATTTTCTTGTCTACAATTTCTTCTAGGTTTTCATGGATTCATGAGTCACATTTAAGTCTTTTGTCCATTTTGAGTTTATTCTTGTGTAGGGTGTAAGTTGATGGTCTAGTTTCATGTTTTTGCATGTAGCTGTCCAATTTTCCCAACACCATTTATTAAAGAGGCTGTCTTTACTCCACTGTATGCTCTTGCCCCCTTTGTCAAATATTAATTGAGCATATTGCCTTGGGTCCATTTCTGGGTTCTCTGTTCTGTTCCACTGGTCTATATGCCTGTTCTTGTGCCAGTGCCAGGCTATTTTGATTACAGTGGCTTTGTAGTATAACCTGAAATCTGGTAATGTGATCCCTCCAACTTTGTTCTTTTTTTTTCAAGATTTCTGTGGCTATTTGAGGTCTTTTTTGGTTCCATATGAACTTTTGAAGTATTTGTTCTAGTTCTGTGAAGTGTGTCATTGGTATTTTGATTGGGATTGCACTGAATCTATAGATTGCTTTGGGTAGTATGGACATTTTAATGATGTTAATTCTTCCAATCCATGAACAAGGTATGTGCTTCCACTCTTTTATATCTTCCTCTATTTCTTTTTTTATGACCTGTAGTTTTCTGCGAATAGGTCCTTTATTTCTTTGGTTAAGTTTATTCCCAGGTATCTTAATTTTTTTTTGCTGCAATGGTAAATGGGATTGTTTTCTTAGTTTCTCTTTCTGTGAGTTCATCATTAGTGTATAAGAGAAGAGTGCCATCGATTTCTTGACTTTAATTTTGAATCCTGCTACTTTTCAAATTCATTTATTAAGTCTAGTAAATTTTTTATGGATTCTTTGGGGTTTTCTACATATAGTATCATGTCATCTGCAAATAATGACAGTTTCACTTCCTCCTTTCCAATTTGGATCCCTTCTATTTTTTCTTCCTGTCTGATAGCTGTGGCTAAGACTTCTAGCACTATGTAAAATAAGGGTGGCGAAAGTGGGCATCCTTGCCTTGTTCCTATTCTTAAGGGAAATGCTTTAATTTTTGCCCATTGGGTATGATATTGACTGTAGGTCTTTCATATATGGCCTTTATTATGTCGAGATATGATCCCTCTATTCCAACATTGCCGAGCTTTTTTATCAGAAATAGATACTAGATTTTGTCAAGGCTTTTTCAGCATCTATTGATATGATCATGTGGTTTTTATTCTTCATTTTATTTATGTGGTGTATCACATTTATTGATTTGCGAATATTGTACGAGCCTTGCATCCCTAGGATGAATCCCACTTGGTCATGGTGAATAATTTTTTTGGTGTATTGCTGGATCTGATTTGCTACTATTTTGTTCAGGATATTGGCATTTATGTTCATCAGGGATATTGGCCTGTAGTTTTCTTTATTTGTAATGTCTTTTTCTGGTTTAAGAATTAGAATTATGCTGGCTTCATAAAACAAATTTGGAAGTCTTACTTCCTCTTTATTGAATTTTTTTAAATAGTTTGAGGAGAATGGGTGTTAGTTATTAGTTGGTAAAACTCTCCCATGACGCCATCCAGGCCTGAATTTTTGTTTGCTGGGAGAGTCTTGATTACATCTTCAATTTCTTCTGTTGTTACTGGTCTGTTCATGTTTTCTATCTCTTCCCGGTCCAGTTTTGGGAGACTATGTGTTTCTACAAATTTGTCCATTTTGCTTAGATTGTCGAATTTGTTGCCAAAGAATTGTTCATAGTAGTTGTTAACAATCCTTTGTATTTCTGTGGTGTCAGTTGTTACTTCTCCTCTTTCCTTTCTGATTTTGTGTATTTGGGTTCTCTCTCTTTGTTTCTTGGTGAGTCTAGCTAAGGGTCAATCAATCGTGTTTATCTTTTCGAAAAACCAGCTCTTTGTTTCATTGATCCTTTGAATTGTTTTTTCTTTTTTTTTTTGGACTCTATGTCATTTATTTCTGCTCTGATCTTTACTATTTCCTTCCTTCTACTTGCTCTGGGGTTTTTTGTTTGTTTGTTTGTTGCCCTCTAGTTCTTTAAGTTGTGAGGATAGATAGTCTATTAGAGATTTTTCTTGTTTCTTGAGGTAGGCCTGTAGTGCTTTGAGCTTCCCTCTCAGAACTGCTTTCGCTGCATCCCATAGATTTTGTATTGTTGTGTGTTCATTTTCATTGGTTTCCAGGAAGATTTTAATTTTTTCCTTCATCTCCTTGGTAACCCATTTGTTGTTTAATAACATGCTATTTAGCTTCCATGTGTTCGAATGTCTTTCCAAGTTCTTGTTGCAATTGAATTCTAGTTCATGCCATTGTGATGTAAGAAGATGCTTGATATGATTT